CATAGGCACCCAACCAGACTGCGCTAGAGACTGTGGGCGCTACAGGGAAAACAAAGCTCTTGGGGTTTTTCAAATGATTATGACATGAAATAACCAGAGAACAGTGCTGGATAGTCTTGAATCAGGAGTCCACACCTGGACATGAGTTGCAAGTGCTGCAGAGACCAGAGATGGCAAAAGGCTGTGGATGCCATTCTTCCAGGTCAGAATCCTACAAGCACCAGGACTTGAGTTGAGCTTGGAAGGACAAGGTCACGTGGTGGTGCGTTGGAAAGGGAGAAGCTTGGAGTGTCATGAGGCACAGCACAGAGAGAGGCCTGGCATTGCATGAGTGGGGAGAGTGAGACCAGCTCGAGTGTGGAGGGAAGGGGGTTTGGAGGTGGACCAAGTAAGGGCATTAGGATTGATGCCATGGGACACACGGAGATGACAACTGCCCCATCAGCAAGGGAAGGATGTACTGAGAATAGGGCATCAGGGAGCTGATTTTGCTGCCAGGCTGAAGCACTCACACGTATTGTTGTGGGGAAGGGCCTGGAGGCTGGGAAAGGCTGTGAGGTTGTTGCAGTAATTAAGGTGGGAGATAACAGAGTTTTGAACCAGCATGCTGCAATGGGAACAGCAGAAGAAGCAAGAGAATTTTCAAAGGAAGAACTGATAGCAAATGGTGAGCAATTAGAGATGGGGAATTAGGGATGGACAAGACAAATCCAAATCAATGCCAAGACTCCTAGAACCATGTGGTGTTATTAACCAGGTAATGGACTTTACAAAAGAAGCCCTATTGTCAGCAAGAGTTGACACATGTGTTTCTATTGAGTGTACAAATTAAACATGCACGTGCCTAGATGTCAGTCAGAAAACACAGACGGGAAACAGGTGGAAGACTGGAACTGGAGTTGTGGGTGTGGGAGGCCCATGGGTGGTACTTAAAGCTGTTAATGTGAAGGGCTGACAACTGGAAAGCTTCTTGGAGTAAGCCTCCCAGTGAAGGCTGATGAGCACTAGGAATGGTTTGCCCCACCTGCCTCTGAGGGCAAAGACCAGGACAGTGGGTGGTTGTCTTTTCTTTCCACTAGAGAGCAGAGGTCTTGGGTGCCCAGCCATGGCTTGAGGAAGAATCCAAGAGGGGACCCTCAGGATAGGCAACAAGGCTGAATGGAAAAGCAGTGGGTCTGCGGAGGACCCTCTACCACCTTCTGTGTGGGGGTTTCACTACGTTTTTAGGATTTCTCCTAAGACCACAATTATTGCTGAATATCTATCTCCTAAAGAAGGAGGGTGGACACAAGCTGCTCCCTGTCATTGAAGGTATTTCTGGAAAAAAGTTTATCATCTCCCTGCTTTGTGGGTATCAATGACCAGGACAGGCAGGTCCTTCCAGGCAAGACCCACCAATTCTGGGCCATTTAAATCCTGCTGGGAATCCAAGGGCAACAGCTAATGTTCTCAGGACTAAAAGAGTTAACATGGTTTCTAGAGGCCCTGGCTTAGAGCCAGCAGTAGACATATGGGTGAATCTAACTCCTTAAGTTTATTTGACATTTAATAATTACCACTGTAAACTCAGCCACCTTTTACACCAAGGAGCCTTTTCTCTTCTCCCCTAGGTCCTCATTTACTCATGCTCAGTGCAAATGCTCCTGTTACCCTCCTCGAGAGACAGTCAAAATTGCCACTGCTGGTCTTTTTCCTCCAGGGGCACACCCGACCTGCATGTTGGTGCCCAAGACAAGTGCTGTGTCCTCTGCAGTTCTGAAACACACCTAAATGCCCAGAATCAAGATACTGGGTGTGGAATCTTGGAGCTAGACATGTTTCTGGGTATAATTTCATCCAATCTTCCACCTAAAACAGGAATGTCCTGTACAGCATCCTTTGATGAAAGCTACCTAGCCTGTGCTTGAATAGAGATAGACGGTCTTATTTTTGGACAGATCCAGTTGAGGAGGCAGTGTTCTTACACTGAATCAAAGTCGGCCTACTGCAATCGTTCACCGTATGGCTCCATTTAGCCTTATGAAGCACAGTGACATCTCCTTTCCTTTGCTATAATAGTGCTATGCCTGCTGATGGTCCCCACGTCCCTGCCTGGCAGTCTCCAGCACCAAACACTGGACTTTCCAAGTCTCTCTGGTAGCAGATCAGCACTTGCCACTCTTCCACAGGCAGGCTGTCTCCTCTGCCCAGGTACTTTAAGGTCCTTCTCGAATGGGGTCTCCAGAGAATGTCACTGTAAATGTGCTCTTACTAGCACAGAGGACACTTTGTGTGTGTATCTCCTCTTCTGATCTGAATTTTATTTGGGACCACAGAGTCCAGCAGACCTGAATTTGAACTTTTATTTTGCAAGTCACTAATTCCAAGACTCAAAACGGGTTACTTGTCCTCTCTGAGGCTTTGTTTCTTCATATGCAAAATGTACCTCATGGGGAAATTAGGAGGATTAAACTAGTTAATACATGTAAACTGTTTAAAACAGAAAGAGCTCAAAACTGGTTTTTATTAGGAGAATAAATCTGCATCAATTACAGTGCTTGGGTTTGTTTTTTTTGGCAAAGAGGAGCCAGGTGTCATGGCGTGGATAAAAAGAGGATGGTTGTGAATAAAGGGAAAGGGCATTTATAAAAGGCACACCGAATTAAAAAGAGGACAGACTTCAAAGGCAGCCATGGGAGTGAACTCAGGCCCACAAAGATCTCTGCATCCACCCGAAGTCCCAGGGATGGTGACCAGCAGCTAGTCGACACTGTGCCTTCAGCCACCTTACCAGCTGCAGCAAGGCCACTATTATTGCAGACTGGGGATTGGTTTCTGTGGAACCTAGGAACCAGGGAAGCCTCCCTCTATTGGCCTTCAAGGTGACAGTCCCCAAAAGGTGGCTGTGAGCATTTTGGAAGCATACCTTTGTCACATGGGTGCCACATGATGACCCAGCAAAGCCATGCCTTGAGAGCAGGAGAATGGCCAGATCCCAGGTGGAAGTGGCTAAAAGGGCACCAAACTCCACCCTACTTGATGCTTGGGGACCCTCTGTTAAGCATACCTTTGTCACATGGGTGCCACATGATGACCCAGCAAAGCCATGCCTTGAGAGCAGGAGAATGGCCAGATCTCAGGTGGAAGTGGCTAAAAGGGCACCAAACTCCACCCTACTTGATGCTTGGGGACCCTCTGTACCCTGACCAAGGGGTGGTACTAAGGCTAGCTTGCATGCCTTTAGAAAGGCGGCTACCGCCTAAGGCTCGCTTTCAGGCCAACACGGCCATATCTAAATGTTTCATCTAAAAGATTCACAGGATGCCTGATCTGAAACAGACCTTGCAGTGGTCCATCATGGCAAAGAATCAGCCCAGATCCAGGGCAGGGAGACAGTGTCAGAAGCTGAGGCAGAGGCGGGAAGCCGGTGGATGGAGAAAGCCCTTCCCTCTGGGTAGTTCGAAGGAACCTGGTGGGTGCACCATCGCTTGAGAATCACGGGTACAACCAAAGTCTCTGTTTTCCTGCTGGGTGACCTAAAGCACTACCTGGAGGGCTAATGCATGGGTCAACACAAGTAAAAGCATCTGTAGGTGATGCAGGGAGGCACACAGTCAGGTCATGGGAAAGGCAGGAAAACACAGTAGGGTTGACCCTCTGAAGTCAGTGACAACAGAGGCCCAGGATGGCCTACAGGGGGAAAGAAGGGGAGTAAGCAGGACTCTGAGTGTAGCAGGAGCTGTGCATGTGGCCTCAAAGAGGCCCCCCCATTTGGGCTGGTGACTGTAGGGGCTCCTGGGACCACAGTGGCAGAGCAGCAGTGTCCTGAGTCAATGCTGAGCCCACAGCTCTCTCCCAGCAGTGACACCCTGAGCAGCAGCCCCGCTGCTAGTGGCTTGGTTGTCTGCAAACCCTTGGCAGGTTCTTGACCTTGGACTAAAGCCGTATCTACGGATTACCCTTTGTACAGCCTGAGACAGTGCCGGCCATCTAGGACACAAGCTCTTTCCCAGTGCAGCAGCTGCTGTGAATGCCCTGGCATCTCCTTCCTGCCTTGGGAAATGTGAGGGAAGTCTGGTCCATGAGAACTTCCACCCTGGGGTCCATTTTTGCTCTCAAAAGACCCCTACAGTGCTTAGGGTGTGCCTCTGAGGTCTGTTTCCATGCTCACTGAGGAGTGAACAGGAGGAAAAGGGCTTACACCGCAATGGGAAGCCTGTGACAGAGCACAGCACAAATGCTGGGACAGATTTCTGAGGGCATCTGTGGGATTCAAAAGGAGTTATTTAGAAACAGTGCATGTGCGGTAAGGACCTAAGCAATCCGCTTTCTGAAGGCAGGAAGGTAGCCCAACTGACCTAATGCAACCTTCTTCAGATCCTGTGAGGTTGTAATTACACAGATGAAAGCACGATTCCAACACAGAACTTGATGTTGCACGTTGGTGGAGAAAAATTTTAGCAATAAAAATATTTTATATCCATAGCTTTAAAAAGAGAGTAGTAGGATATTGAGTGAGAAAAACTTTTACAGGTACTGTTTAAAAGAAAAAGCTTGGGAGATATCCCAGCACTTTGGCCTCTTGGGCTCTGCTATCTTTTTAATTCCCTACATTCATGTTCTGTGGCTTATCTGTGAATTTGGTTAACACATTCCCCAGCCGCTCAATTGGATAAGATAAGGCAGAAGATGTTAATAGAGAATACTCCATCTTTTCCCACTGAGTCTGATTTCAGGATTCATTGACTTGCTAAACCCAATTTTTTCCCTGCATTCGGTGTCCTATATGGGCTTATCAATGCAGGAGATAATCTATCCACCAGGCATCCAATGAGTGCCCACAAAAGGCAGAGGAAGATGGGCCAGCAGCCTGTGGTCCCTGGGGACCTGCAGAGAGAGGCCGCCACTTGGGCACTGGGGGCTGAAAGGGGACTTGCCATTGGGACCAGCCAGAATGGCTATAAAGAGAGCCCTAAGCACTAGCCTGCCGAGGGCAGCAGCCACGTCTGCTCGCTACTCACCTCGGCCTGTGCTGTAATGCTGGAGCTTGTCACTGTATACAGCCTCTTTGCTATAGGCCCGTTTCCTGCGGATACAGAGAAGAGGGTCCTCTGAGCCGGAGTGCACGCAGGGAGCTCCACCCAGGCCTCGCGTCCAGACAGGGGTTCACCAAGGCATCTCCCAGGATGGGGGGGGGCAACCCTCACGGTAAGGTTTTGTTCCTGCCGTGGCCAGCATTCTGGTTGACCACCACTCACTCCTGTGGGCACACAGGTCTGCTTGCAAGTCAGGGTCTTACAGAGGCCTGGCAGGGCCGTGGATCCCCATAGGGCAGAGGCGAGGAGGGTGCCCACCAGTGCTCCAGCCACACCGTGCGACTGCTCGGGAGGGGCTGGCTACAGGGCTTTGCAGGATGGAATCTGGGCTAAACGCAGAAGGCAGTAGCAACAGTATTAAACATTCACAGGGCCTTCAGGGCCGACCCTTCTGCAGAACTCGGTCCTCTTCCTCCTCGACCCCCTCCTGCCCTCCCATCTGCCAACGCCTGCTGCTGAGGGCCCACGCGCTCTCACTGCAGGACGGCCAGGCGCAGGCTGCGGTGCTGCAAGGGCCAAATGCAATTTTGTGACTGTCACTCTGAGAAGACGTGCATGGTGGGGAGGCTGAAAGTCTTGACTAACACGAGGTTGGAGGATGGATGCTGTTTACTCACAGCCTTTCCCAGCTCTCAGAGCAGATTTTATCCCAGGCACAGAGAAAATAAATAATCTGGAGAAATCCAGCTGCCCGTGGACTGAGATGGACTGACGGTTGTGTCTGTTCACGGTCAGGCCCTGTACTGTCTGCACAACCTGGGAAGGGGTACATTGGGAGGGGCTTCCAGGATCCGAGGAGAGCAGTGGAAGACCTACCTGCTACAGACGACAGAGATGGCCACCAAGGACACGATGAACACGACCCCGGCTGCCGCCGAGCCAGCGATCAGGGGCAGCTGCTCCCTCAGCTCCGACTTGTAATCGTCTAGGTGAGAAAGAGCATTAGAGTCCTCCCCAAGTGCACTCTGCCTACAGCTGGTGCTCAGTGCATGGTACTAAAGACATGATATATGTACCTATGTATCTCTGTGGAGCACAGCCTCTATGCTTCAGAGCTGTAAACCCAATCAAAACAAAGACTGATCTTTAAGTCACAAGTAAACAAAGTCAGCCACAAACAAAGGGCAATGACAACAATAAAAACAAAAAAGTAGTGACAGAGAATCTGGGAACTGAGGGCTGATGACATTCGTCTCCGGAACAGAGATGCCTCCTGATCCACAGCCCCTTGTCTGGAAGGTGTCTCACAGGACAGTCAGCCAAGCTCAGGATAAGCGCAAAGGAGAAGGCATGGAAACCACTGCTGAGCTGTCTTCCAAAACACGCAGCTGTGAAATGTGGCACAGCCAACAGATTCACTGAGCAGGTATTTACAGAGTATCCAGACAGCCAGCACCACACCAGGCGCTGTGGAGAATGAAGAAACGCCTGAGAAATGGCCCCGCACTCTAAGCTCCCACTCAGGAAGGAAAGGGTCAAATGTTAGAACCGTGCTGGGTTACGCACTGGGATGGGAAGCCCATGGGTCAGAGAGGTGGACAGAGGTTGTCCAGACCCTGGCATCACCAGGTGTAAGCATTGTGATCTTGGATAAATTATTTAGTTTTTCCTTTTTGGTAGCTGGCCGGTACAGGGATCCGAACCCTTAACCCACGGTGTTATCAGCACCGTGCTCTATCAAGTGAGCTAACCAGCTAGTCCAGTTATTTGGTTTTTCTAATCCTCAGACTCCCCGTCTGTTAAAAAAAATATCAAATCATGTGAAGAACATTTCACTGTGTCTGCCCTATCATGGATGTCATGATACTAATTCTCTTTTCTTTAATCCATCTGACCCACTTGGCCCAGGTGGCTATTGTTGCTACTGTCGTGCTTATTCTTTCGTGGGTGATAAGGAGCCTTTCCCTAATATTCAGGACCCAGGTATATGGAGGTCAAGCTATTTATATCCTATTACAGTGAGGGTTGCCAGATATAGCAGATAAAAATACAGGCCCACCAGTTAAATTTGAATTTGAGATAAACAATACATAATGTTTTAGTGTAAGGATGCCCCAAATATTTCATGGGAGGTACTCTTTCTTTCTTTAATTTATTTTTTTTTGTGATGCTCAAATCAGTATAATTAGTATATTCAACATTACACAATGTAATCATTTTCTACACTAAGGTATTATTTGTCATTTGCCTAAAATTCAAATTTAACTGGCCGTCCTATATTTTATCTGGCAACCCCAATGACAATTCTTGAACCGAGGCTCCCCATGACTTTTGTCAGAATTACCAACTGTTCAACACGGCCATTTCCTGACCCCTTCTCAGAGCTACTGAATGAGAACCTCTGGGTCAACAGCAGGGTATCTGCATGTTTAACCAACATTCCAGGTGATTCTTAAGCTCCCCAGTGTTTGAGAACCATCCTTCAACTATGTGGGTGGAGAAAGAGACTTCTAAAGACAAGGGTTTTGGTTTTTGAAGCCTCCCACTCTATAGAAATCAATTTTAAAGACTGAGGGTAGAGTTTCAGTTGCCCTCAGCTGAGAGCTTTTTGTAACACGTGTGTTTAAAAAAAATGGCAACAGAAAAAATTGCAGGGAGCCTCAGCGAGGAGTCCTAAACAGTGTCTTTATTAATTAAGAACTTCATGAAATAATGTGAAACCTAAATGGTTTAAAAAAAAATTAGGATGCTGAGTCAAGGGTCAGCACCCTGTAGCTAGGAGCAGCATGAGGCCACAGTGGCTCTGCCCTAAGTGAAGGTTACCTGCCCAAAGTTTGGCCATTAACCCTGGGCGGGATCCCATGGGTCCTCCCAGCACAGTGACCCTATCATTGGTCAGCCTTCAGCTCCCAGGCCTGTGGCTTCAGTGAACATAATCACTACTGATGTGTGTACCTCAGTCATTAAGATAAATACTCCCAAATTTGGCCACTTACCAGAACTCTCTTACATCTAGCCCCTCTGGGGTTTGCAGAACTTAACTGCCAAATGTAAAAAAATAAATAGCCTTCCTGGGAGAAATTTGTTACTTCTTGATTTGTCTAGCAGAATTATCAAGAGACTGGTGCTCAAAGCATTTTGAGTTTTGGGCCTTTAATCCTGTGTACCTCCTGATGCCAAAGTGACTATAAATCTAGGTGGTAAATGAGGTGCAAAGAGGGGGACAGAGTTCTTGAGGAAAAAAAAGACAGCCTGCATTCTTTTCAAACCAGCAGCGTTATTAATCTGAACGAACTGGCTCACCTTTCCACCCCATCTCACCATTCTCAAAATAAGAGAAAATTTACCTAAAACAAACCCAAAGCAAATTCCACTCCTTCAGGGGCCAGACAGTTCACAGTATAGTGTCCAGGTTTGAATTGCTGGGGAGTGAAGGACACCATTTGGGGGTAGCCAGTCCCAGCTCCAGGGCAGGGTCCTCACCCCAGAATGCCCACCCATGTTGGCTTCTCTTGGAGTGTTTCACAAGAAAATGAACATTCTGATTTGTTTAAAATATCATTTGATTTTTAAATGTTTCTAATTATTAAAAATTGTTTAAAAAAATATAATGTGAGTTTATATAAAACTGCAAGCATGTAGTATAAGAGTGTTGAATTAAAATGAAATGCTGTGTAAGGGCAGACTGTTTTCTATGTAATTTAACTAATAAAGGAAAAATGAAAAGACTGACATTTGGACAACTATCAGGAACCAGCTCATAAATGGACAAATACATTCAGACAGGCAGGCAGGTAGATACAGAAATGAATTTATAAACTATTGTAAATGGACAGCTACAGAAAAGAGTGGTGAGCACAGTCTAACAGAAATACTCATGCACAATGTAAAGGTTGCCAAGAAATCAGATTTTCAAAACTAGTGGAAGGGGTGGTCTCGGAGGACTGGGAGAGATAGCCATAATAGGGAACTAATAAAGCCCCAAAGTAGCAGTATTTTTGGTAACAGACTTTTTGGACTTGGGGACAGCTTGGCTCTTCTCTGGAGAAACCTGAGCAGGACCTATTGGAGGTTATATGTGAAATCCTTCAAATATTCTGAGATCCCAGGTGCGTGAGATTGCCACACCTCAGGTTTTATCTCTCGATTTTGCTCTTGGAGACCAGGGCTCATGCAATTAGGCTGTGAGCTTGGCTTCCAGACCCCAAGCAGAGAGGAATGAGGTGGGATTGAGGGGGGAAACAGCATAGTCATCTGGACCCTACTTCAGAGGCAGGCGGGGACAATGACCCCAGGATATATGTGGAGGTCTTACTGCTATGCAAATGCAGGACCACACGTGGTGACAGACCCTTCAATGGCAAATCCAATCACATGTTGGAAGAGAAATGGGCCAGACTTCAGAGAGATGACCTGCTTGGTGAATCAAGCAAGTCCATACGACACTACTGGGAGGCAAACCCTTCCCAGGGGATTCCGATGGAGTCCAGGTGGAGGTTGGCATTTTGGCTGCGAGTGCAGCTTCTTTGGGGCTGCTTCTCCTTCCCCACTACCCACCCTGTGCTGTTGCTGCCCCCTGCCCTTACCGTCAGTCAGAGTCTGGAAGCACATCTTGCCACTGAACTTGCCGTAGCCGGCCACAGTGCGGGCACGCACCTGCACCACGTACACCATGCCGGGCCGCAGCCCGTCGATCCGAGCAGTGTTGGTCTGGCTCCTGGCCATGGAGGAGTTGAACTCATTGTGTTCCTAAAAAAGAGCATGGGGAGGGGTCACCAGCCCACTCCGCCCTGGAACACTCAGGCCCCTTCAGTTCCTGCTCCTACAGATCTGCTAGAAGTTGTTATAGTCCCAGGCCATCCCTCTGAAGGGGAACAAGAAGTCTGGCCTGGACCAAGGGAATGCAGAATCAGCTCTGGACCATGGAGTGGTGATACTTTGAAGAAAGGGGTGTGAGGAAACAGCCGAACCCTCAAGGCCTGGCAAGTCATTTTCTACCCATGCCCCACCCTCTCCCCAAGGTTCGGCGGAGGAATAGCATAGCACACCAGCCTTGCAAAATATTGTCGAGTCTCTGACCTCAGCAGAAGCAAAGTTGGCAACATCCCACCCCTGCCTGCCTCTTTCTGTCTTGCTTCTGCTGGGCTGTCCTCTCTTCTCTCCCTGCTCAAGGTATCTCTGGTTACTCCTCACAATGACTGTTCTAGATCATTCCATAAGTTCCCTCAAGTACTTAGGCAAAAAACTTTGGATCCACTGTGCCAAAGAAGTCTAGGCCATTCTGGACTGTCCCCTACACCTGCTTCTGCTGTCACCTTGGCCTGTGTCTGGGTGCCCCATTCTCTAGCTCCTCTTGGCCAGCATTCAGGGAGGGCATGTCCCTCCTCCCTGGAGAGTAGGCCCTGTGTTCTCAACCCCCCTCCACATGTACTCAGGGCTCAGCCTCACCTATCTGTCTGTCACTTAATCCAGCACCTCTGCCTGTCCTCTGCAGTCCCTGTTAACTGCACACGTGAGCCCTCTGGTGTGGGCAGATTTGCCTGTGGTTTTTGTCCAGACCCTTCTGCTCATTGTGAGCACCCTTAAAGGCTTGCTTCCTCTCTTTGCTGCAGATCTTATTTAACATGGGATTGTGCCTGGACTTTCATAGCCTCCCATCTTTTCTGATGCTCCCCACCCACCACACCCCTCCCAATGCCAAACTTTTTTCTTAAAAGGTCTTTGAGCTTCCCTAAACTATCATAATATAAAGACAAGCTCCTAAATTTAAGTTTGTAGGCCATTCATAATAAAGTCAATGTCTCACATTCCCCTAAATCACAGCCTTGTTTCCCCTCCAGGGATCTCCCTGGCCATGAGGCCTTTGCCCAGGCTGTTTCCCAGTCTGAAATGCCTCTATCCAGGGCTCCTCTGATCCCTCCAGGTTGCTTAAGCCTACAGTCCCCAAGGCCTCCTCTCTAGGAAGGCTTTCCTTACTACTTTAGTTCATGGATTCTCTGCATTGCTGTCCTTCCAGATACCACCACACCCTCAGGACCCTCTCATATACCAGCCTGGTCTCCAAGCATTTTCAAGTCAACATATCATTTCTCTGCAGAGATTCTGGGCCATCTCCAAGTATGAAGAAACAAAAGCTTAGAGTCTAGGCTTACCTTTGTCTGCTCCATGAATTCTAGAGCAAAATGGGGAACTCAATGAAAATGAAGAGCTTGGATCACTGGGAGGGAGGTCCCCAAGTCCCCTGTGCAGATCTGGGGTACTCTGATGAGATTTATGCACAATGGTTCAAGAGGCATGGACAAATGAGGGGAAGTCTGCATAATGAGAGACCTACAACCACATTCTTGGCCAAATGACAGAAGAAACTTAGGGAGTTGAGCCAGGACAAAAGAAAATAGTACACTGATAAGAAATTTTCATTGTTTTAAAATATGTAACAGTCCACTTTGCAAAGGCAAAGATGACCTGATGTGTATTAATTCAGTTATTCATTCAACCAGCTAGGCAGTTACATTTGTGACACACCACCACATCAGGGTGCTATACACGGGCTGCAGATACAAAGGCACATTCCCCTCCTCTGGAAATGCGACATCTCATGGAGTAGACTGGAAAATAAACAGAAGATGACAGCAGTGCTGACTGAGTGACTTGGCAGAGAGTGGTTCAGAGGACAGTGGGGGCATAGCAGGAGACCACCTAACCCAGACTTGGCAGGAGATCTGGAGGGGCTCAGGGAAAGGATAACATGAGTTGAGTCATGAAAGATGAAAGAAATCAGCGAGATGAATGAAGGTGGAGAATAAAACATGCAAAATCAAGGCCTGGAAGGATTCAGGAGGGTGCAAGTAATTGGCATATCTGGAGCGTGGGTGGCATAGGGGTGGCAAGGAATGACTTGGAAGTAGTTGTAAAGGACCACAGGTTTGAGGCCAGCTTGAACTGACAGTTGAAAGTTACAAAGAGGCCCGTGCTCACCCTAATGGAGGGGATATCCACTGGCCCCCAGCAGATACTGTCTGGAGAAGGATTACCCACTCATCATTTGATCTATTTAAAAGAAGGGGGGTCCTCCCCAGACCCATCAGGGATTCAGCAGAAAGAGGCTGTCTGCTATAGAAGGGATGTTGTCTAGAACTGTGGCCATTACTATTTTGAAACACTGGACATCTGAGACCTGAAACTAAAAATGTCTTCATCATCTTGCAAATAAGGATGAAATCCCATTGCTAAAAATCCAGGTGGCTGCCCAAATTCTCTGGTTTCACTGGACTCTGATGCCATCACGTACTGCTTGAAATAAGTGAAGCATTGACTGGGTAGCTTCTACTGAAAAAAATGTGCTTTGATATATTGGCATTTGGATTGTAAGGACCAAACATCATCCCATGATCACTTGATAGTCCACACATTCTTGAGGAAGTTCAGTGACTAAAATGAGCATCAATTTTCATTCCTCACAAAATCATTTATCAATTCCAGGCAGATGAGTGAAAGATCCAGGTGGCTGCCCAAATTCTCTGGTTTCACTGGACTCTGATGGCATCACGTACTGCTTGAAATAAGTGAAGCATTGACTGGGTAGCTTCTACTGAAAAAAGTGTGCTTTGATATATTGGCATTTGGATTGTAAGGACCAAACATCATCCCATGATCACTGGATAGTCCACACATTCTTGAGGAAGTTCAGTGACTAAAATGAGCATCAATTTTCATTCCTCACAAAATCATTTATCAATTCCAGGCAGATGAGTGAAAGTGATGAGTGCATTTGCTTTTTTCGATTTTGGTTTGCTTATGACTGATTCTATGGGTATGTGGGAGTGAGAGGGTGCAGCTGTTGAGGGCAGAGACCATGTCTCTCTATTTCTCTGTCCCCAGCACCCCAGCATGCAGCATGTCCCTTGTACCACCTGGGCGCTCCACAACTCAGTGCTAAATGAATGAATAAACAGCACACTTCAATCCAGTTTGAGCCAATCAATTGCACATACAATATTGCAAAGGTCTAAATGAATATCTATGAGAAAACAATCCTAAAATTTGAAAGGTAGAGATTCCCAAGGCCTAAATCAGTTTGTCCTAGCCTAGACAGTTACGAAGAGTGAGTAACCATCGAAACGCTTAATCATTAAGACAGCTGAGAGCAGATGTAGATGCTCCTCCCATGGTTTGCCTACAAGTGCTGACACCAGGAGTGAAAAGTGCTACAAGACAGCAAACAAGAGAGAATGATGGATGGAAACATATTAAAATGGGGAAGGAGATGAATATGGGAGAGGCTCTGGGAGTGTCATCAGCTCGATGGCATCTGAGCTCTCTATTAATGAACTTTGTTGATTCTATCCACAGAGCTGAAATTGAAAGGTGTCCCAAGCACAAAGTGGAGCAGGAGACCTAGGAGGGGTTTTTCAGGGATTGCAAAACTACCACCCCTGGCCAGCCACCTGTTTTTTTAAATAAAGCTCTACTGGAACACAGCCACACCCATCTATTTACATATTGCCTGTGGCTGCTTTCCTGCTACAAGGGCTGATGGAGTAATTGGGACAGGGACCTTATGACCCTCAAGCCTAACTTATCTATTATCGGTCCTTCACAGAAAAAGTGTGCTGACCCCTGTTTAGATGAAGAGGCTGGATGTCCCTGGGGAACAGGAAGTTACACAAATAGAATTCAGCCCAGGACATCTACTGGGATGAATTCTATTTGTGTTTGCATCATCTAAAGGCCAGGATTCCATGCCCATGTGGACCATGCAGGCAGATCCTTCTGGTTACAAGTATTTGGATTTAATCTTAAAATACAATCTTTCATTTCAGGGGCCACACCAATTTTGAGATCCTCAGCATCAGCTATGACTGAGTCCATTCGTGTACTGAAGTTTCCACCACTGAAATAAAATAAAAATGTCTATATTTCTGGTTCTGTGACTCCCTATCTGTGACCTGTGTGGTCATAGATAAGCCATTTAACCTTTCTGTGACTTAGTTCCATCATCTATAAATTGGTTATATCTGGTTTTCAAGTATATATATATATATATTTAAGGATTAGGGCTACTTTATCTGTGTTTATCTGGCACATAATAGGTACTCAATATGTGATGAGTTATGATCATTGTGATTATTATTTCAGAATGCCCTCACAGGCTAATGCCTTTTTCTTTAGTCCTATTAGAAATGACCAAGGCAATGTAATGGATGTTATCATAGTCGAGCACTTTGTAAGAGAAGGAGAGTTTTACAGTAAAATACCGAATGGTAACCAGTGCTTTGGCAAAGAATCTTCTGTGTTCCCAAGGAAAGCATTCTGTTCTCTGGAGTGGGGACAATAATGTGCTTCACTGAGGTGTTTAAGCCGCCGCAGGCTCTGAGCTGCTGTGTATGTGTGTCTGTTAATAATTAGTATAAATTACTGAGAAGCAGGGCAGTGGCCTGATATGGGAGAATAAGCTTCCTTCATAGCATAAGAAGTTGAGATTAATTACAGGTCTTTAAGGGAGGAGCTTTAAATGTAAAGGGAAAGAAGCTTGGGCCGGGCTGGGGAGCAGGAACCAAGGACACAGGTACAAGCCTTCAGTCCTGAGCCCATCATTAAGCTCTTCACCCGTCTCAGCTGCCCCACACACAGAAGATGAGAAGGAGGGGCAGGTGGTCTCCAATACATTCTGCCGCTTCCCAACACCAATCCCTGCTGCAAATGATTCAAGCTCACCTCCTAGCTATGTGACTGTGGGCAAGATTTCTTTTTAATTTCTCTGTGCATCAGCTTCTTACCCATAGCAGTGATGCAATATTTACCATGCTGGAGTTTGAGGGGGAAAGCAGATAATAAAATATAAAGCCCCTGGCACCCAGTAGGTGCACACTAGGAAGAAATTATTATTATTTTTCTGAGATGAGTTGTTATTTCAACAAGGTTACAAGTTCATGTGGGGTGGGGGGCTGGGTGGACCCACCATATACTGGCCACACATGGTACTCTATGGAACCGTAGGTCAACATTGGTGACAAAATGGGACTCTGTGGTCAACTGGTCCAGACAGATTGGTCCAACACTCTGGAAAGTGAACATTTTCTTCATTAAGTGACAGAAAATATCTAGCAAATAAGGGCCCCAAATTCAAAGTGGATTGGACATGATGGGTGCTTGTGTATCCAGATGGTTTAAATTACCCCCAGTTTGCTGATTTATCCAAGTAAACTCCACAAAACCCCCTAACGCTGCCTAATCCTTGCCTTGCTTGCAGGTTCGGCTGTGATGCAGAAGGGCACACCTCCTCAACTAGACTGGTGATCCTTCTGGACCTCCGCTTTCAGGAGGGCCAATTGCTGCCATTTACAAATGTGAAGACCGTGGCCTAGAGTGGTCGGGTCATTTGGCCACAGCTGTGGCACTGGTTAGCTGCGGAGGGCACTGGAAACGAGGCTCTGCTTCTCGATGCAGTGGCGTCTCACTGTTCAGCACGGCCTCTGTGTTGCAGGGCTGCGGGTCTCCGTCTTTGATTCTCTTCTCATTTCCACTGACCCCCAGGCTTAAGGCTTCCATACCATCTCTGTACTGACAACTCCCAGGTGGGCAGCCCCAGCTGGTCCCCTTGCCTCAGCTCCAGACGTGGACACCCCGCTGCCTGCTCCATGTCTCCACCTGGCTATTTACACACGGAGCTGAACTTCTGTTCCTTCCCTCATCCCACAGTGATCGCCTTCTCATTCCTCTTCTAGTGGCTCAGGCCAAAACCCTCCCTTGCCTGAAGTCCAACTTGTTGGAGACCCTATTGGTTCTGCCTTTAGTTTATACATCTAGAAATCAACTACATTTCAATAGCCCTCTGCTTCTCCCTTGATTCAATTTCACCTTAATTCAACCCACCATCACCTTTGTAGATGATTATAAATCTAGCAGGCCTAATTTCAATGAAGCAGTCTCAATAATCCTTTCAAAATGTAAGTCAGGTCTTGTCCCTCCTCTGCTCCTAAACCTGCTATGACTCCCTGTGTCACTCAGTGGAAAAGCTCAAGCTCAAGTCCTTGAGGCCCAACGTGATTACCTCCCTTGGGAACCCCTCTCACCTGACTACTACTTTCCCACTGCTCCCATCACTCCAGCCAAGCTGGTTTCCTTGAGTCACCAGTCATGATCCTGCCTCAGGACCTTTGCAGGGGCTGTTACCCCTTCTTCCCTGAGATAAGTGCTTCGTGACAACCTTACCTTGCTCAGGTCTTTACTCAGATCTTATCTTCTCCGAGAGGCCCACCTTGGCCATTCTATTGAATTCTGCAACCTGCTCCTCCTTCAAGCCTGATCCCTGATCCCATTTACCCTGCTCTGCTTTTTCTTTTTTCCTTTACACTGCTCATTTTCTAATATTCTATATAATTTCCTTACTTATTATGTTCGTTGCTCATTGTCTGTCTCCCTCTGTTAGAAAGTAAGATCCTCGAGGGGGGGTATTCTTGTCTATTTGATCCCTGTTATAACCTAGAATAGTAATTATACCTGTCAAATAGTAGGCTCTCAATAAATACTTGCTGAGCAAATAAATGAATGGATTAGGTTTCTACAAATAATGTGTTGGGTTAGTATAGAAAGCACTGTATTTTCCTGGGACTTTACAGATGCTGCAGTTCACCATGGTGGGAGGGAGGCCCTGCTTCCCTGGCAGATAGGCTGAGGACCAACACCGCAGGGCTGTGTTTCCCTTTTCTTGGCAGCAGATGCCCTCCCATAGCCCCCAGCAGCAGTGGATAAAGAGCAGTCAAGGAAGACTTCTCTTTAGTACATAAATTTCTATTTCTAGTCATTTTTATCTCACTCTTTTAAATTTCTATTTGCATGGTTTTTAACCCCCCTAAATATATTAGTGTAGTAGTCTATGCATATGATTTATGAATAAACAAACTTATATTGGAGGTACATGATCAAAAACTTTGAAAATCCCTGATTTTCAAAATCCTGTGAAGATTCCAGGACACCTGGCAGTTTGGTAGCATCTGCATGAGAACAGCAAACACATGACCGGGAGAGCGACAGGACTGGCCTGCCCACAGCAGCCCGCTGAAGTGTCCAGACAGCAGGGTTGTGGGCCAGAAGGTTCTCTCCTGAGTTGGTGCAGAAAATTCTGGCTTTTGAGGCTTTTGTTGGGGCAGACCTGGGGAACTCTTCAGGGAGCCTCTGGCCTCTGGGAGAGCGACAGGACTGGCCTGCCCACACCAGCCCACTGAAGTGTCCAGACAGCAGGGTTGTGGGCCAGAAGGTTCTCTCCTGAGTTGGTGCAGAAAACTCTGGCTTTTGAGGCTTTTGTTGGGGCAGACCTGGGGAACTCTTCAGGGAGCCTCTGGCCTCTGTCACCTGATTCCTCCCTCCCCTTGGGATTTCTTCCAGCCTGTCTCCTTCTGCCCTCAGCTGGCCACCATCCATGGAACAGTGGTTGTCCCTGGGTCCTGCAAGCCTGCAGGCAGAGCTGGCTCACCTTCTCATAGTAGCGGATCTCATAGTCCAGGATGATGCCATTGGGCTGCTCCGGCTGTGGCCATGACAAGGTGATGCTCCTCATGGTAGCACTGACCTGGTGCATGATGGGAACAGTGGAGGGGGCTGTAGAGAGAGGAAGAGACAGGGTAGCTGAACAGACTCTCAATTATAGACGTGGACCCTCAGAGATAAGTAGGGCGAGAATTGCCATTGGGTTTGAGCCCTGCCCTTTCTCTCTCATCAGCTGAGCTGGATCTGTAGAACTTCCTGTGGGGTTTTCATAATGAATGGAGTTTGGGTAACAGAGGAGAGAACAGGTGATAATTTAGGAGAGGAGAGCATGTGTGGGCAGGGGCTGGAATGGATGTGATATTTTCATGGGCAGAGAGGAGAAAGGCTTGATCAAAACAGGAGATGGTTGGAAGAATCAAACGAAAAGACAGAAGGAAAAGAAGAGCAATGGGATGTTTTTGAGCAGGTGCTGAAGGAGCCTCAGTCTTGCAGTTGTGATCTGAGCTATTGCAGAGAAGAGAACCTGGGGACCAGGGATGATGGTGAGAGAGCAGAAGTGGTCAGTGCAGAAATACCGTGCAATGGAAAGGAACATTCTAGCAAACATCTTTCTGACATTGCATGTAAGATTTCACTGTACAGTACTTTGAAAGGGAAAGAGGAGGCATCTCTCAAGAAGACATGAACACAGAGCAACGACAGGGGTACTGACAGGGTTTTCCAAATAAGGACATTTGCAATAAGGAGCTCCCACATATGAACAAAGAAATGATACACAAACCAAACATTTGGAAACAGGATCATAATTCCAAAATCTGTAAAGTTGATTTGGAAATCTCTGTCTGGAAGTAATATTATTTATTTCCCAATTTGACATTTTTTACATGGTGTAAGTAAAATGAAAACAGTCTGGAAATAATAGATGAGGGCTGTCTTTCTAGGAGAGAGGCGGGTAATGGATGAGGCTTCCATCTACGCTCTGTTCAGGGGCTGTTCCCTTTAGTCCTGGCACTTCTGCAATGATGAAGGTCGTTTCCTCACTCAAACTCCACTTTACAAGGGTTTCTCTGGGGACCGTGGCTGAGTGACATTTACTATCCTCAATTTAGGTTAACAGATTCCCCTCCGAGACCCGGAATTACAGAGCACGGCTAACGGTTCATAGGGGCCACCGCCCTTCCCACCACTTGCTGGACTCTCGGTGAGCACCTACTATGTGCGGCCCCATGCTGGGGAGGGGACACAGAGCATTTGTCCTAATGATGCTCCATAAAGAGTGAGAAGTGTGGGGAGTGCTGTGACGAGCCCTTACAATCAGTGTCCCCGGGACTCTGATGGCCGGTTTGCACAGTTCTCGTTAGAGACCTTGTGGCATCTGTGAAAATGCACCTCCCAGAGCTCCTACTCCTGGGAGGATGATTGACAAATGGACCCAGCTGCTGCACTCTGAATCCACGGCCACATTCACGCAGAGGACCGCTTCCCACAGGCTGCTCCTAGCCAGTGACGGAGAGTGGCAGGGAGGCCACAGAGGCCCATTCCTGCAAGATACAAGACTCTTCTGATTGGCGACTTTCTCTCAAAGACTCCCCATGGGGTTTTCCGATGATTCCCTGCAGCAGCACAGCAGTCAGACTCTTCCCATCTGGGTCTCCTTCCTGCCCTCTCTCCTTCACAGGGATCAGACCTTCATTGTGGTCTGATGGCTCCCCCAGCCTCCTCTACTCCCACCCATTCCCCCAATAAATGTCTTGCACATCTAATCTTATCGTGGTGTCTGCTTCGCGCATGGCCTGGATTAATGTAGTCCTGGACAGCCTACAATTTCCCTGTCAAGCACTTGCTGCCAGGCTCCAGTCGTGCCCAGGGCTGGGCAGCTCTCTGCCTCTGGGTGCTGTTGCTTTGTACTTCAGTGGCCCTCACCAGTTTGCACACCTTCCTTATCCTTATCTGAAGTGTATCTTCTTCCCACTGGTCTCAGTTCTGCCAGCTGATGTAACATAGGATGTTCCCTCTTCCACAGAATGGCTTGTCAAATATGTAAAGAAACTAGTTAGATCACCCCTGCATTGTTTCTGCTGAGAATAATAGCCAAATACTACAGACATGTCTCTCATGACCATGGGCGGCTTTTTTCCAAATGGGTCCCATGTTCTCCAAATCCCTCTTGAGGCTTGAGGCCCAGAGGCAAGCCATCTCTCTCCCCACTGCCTGAACAGCAAAGATTAGAGTAACACTAATATCTAGCATGATATACATCTGCTAATGTGACCATTAGCCTTGGATCAAAAACATGTCCCCGCTGTTCCATTCTGAAATTACAGTCACACATAGCCTTTGGGCTTCTTCATGGTACGTTCCTTATCTTCTGACTGTAGAGTTGGCTTTTGGCTTTGACTATGGAGATTTACATGCATCTTTTTACCTTTATGCTGTTAAATTTGGCCTATTAATCCAGTAAGTTGAGATAATTTTTTGATCCCGATTCAGCTGCCAAATGCATTTTCTCTTCCTCCCAACTTAGTATTATGGCCCATGTTAATTAATTAATTAAACAAATATTTGCTGAACATCTGCCATGTACCAGTCACCATTATAGGTTCTAGAGATACCCGAGTGAACGAAATAAAATTTTCTGCCTTCTTAGAGCTTACTTTCTAGTGGAGGGATTCAGAGACCAGATGTAATACATAAATCATGAGGTATGTTACAAGATATTAAGTACAATGGAAAATATGTAGGGGGGGAGGGATACAGAATGCCACAGTGTGTGTGTGGGGGGGGGGTGCAGCCAGCAAGGGCCTCCCTCAGAAGCAGATGCAGGAGCACAGGGTTGAAGGGTGAGGGGTAGCCGTGTGGCTACCTGGAGCACAGCATGTGAGAAGGAACGGCCAGGACGAAGGGTCTGATCTGGGAGTGTCAAAGAGCCCGTGGGACTCAAACAGAGAGGAGGCCACAGAGGGCAGGTCCCTGAGAACATGGGAGGGACTTTGGCTTTTTCTCTGAGTGACTGGGCAGCCTCAGGAGGGTTGTCAACAGGGCAGGGATGTGATCTGACTTGCACGTTAATAGCATCCCTCTCTGCTATGTTGCAAATAGAATGCAGGGGACCTTGTAAAAGTAGAAAAACCTGTCACAACACTGCTGCAATAGTCCAGCTGCGAGACAATAGTTACTTGGACCAGGCTCCAAGCAGTGGAGGTGGTAAGATTCTGGATTTGCTTATATTTAGACTATCTCCATGGATGTGGGATGAGGAGGAAAACAGAAGAGTCAAAATGACTTCAAGGTTTTGGGCCTGAGCGACAGCAGGAGAGGGGCTGCCATCATCTGAGATCAGAGAAGCCATCAGTAGAAGCAGTTTGGGAGGGAAGACCGGGTGCTCCACATGGACCTGTTGTGTTTGAGATTCCAAGGTGTCCCAGAGCAGACACTGAGTGGACAAACGAACCTACAAGGTCCAGACTGGAGATATGAATTTGAAGTCATCAGTATTTCAAAGATACTGAAAGCAGCAGAACTGACAGAGGTCACCAAGAGAACGAGTGGAACAGCACATACATTATACATTCTAAGATTCAGGAGATGAGGAAAAAACAGCAAAGGAGCCCGACAAAGAAAGGCCAAGGAGGTAGAAGGAAACCCAGGAGAGTGTGATCGCCTAGAAACCAGTGGGACAAGCAGCTCAGGAGGAAAGACTAAGTTAAATGCTGCTGCTAAGTCAGGGAGAACGAGGCTACGCAGCAGGCTTGAGGACTCACTGCATGGATGGCACACGATCATCTCTCCTAAGACCTTTTGGAACTTCAGGAAGGCAATTCGGAGAAGGTGAGACAGTTTTCCGGAGTCAGTCCAGATCATTTGGGGATCCCAATGAGTCCCCAAAAACGGGGTGAGCGAATGGCTCCCAAACACCCTCTTTCATCCCGCTGCACACTGTGCTACTCGCTTGGCTGCCCAGGAACTTCAGGAAGGCAATTCGGAGAAGGTGAGACAGTTTTCCGGAGTCAGTCCAGATCATTTGGGGATCCCAATGAGTCCCCGAAAACGGGGTGAGTGAATGGCTCCCAAACACCCTCTTTCATCCCGCTGCACACTGTGCTACTCGCTTGGCTGCCCATTATAGCAGACCTACGTGAGAGCACCACTCACATGTTAATCATGTCCGTGCCATACAGGTTGTCAGGGCCCCTCTGTCTTGAGAACTGGAACATCATATATTTAAAAATTGGAAAGATCAATCCTAACAGCCCCAGGATTTGGATGGGCTTGGTTCTTCTCCTTGCCTCTAACCACTGGGGACAAGCAAGGCAGTCACAGCCCTGACTTAAGGTCCTTGCAGTCTAGTTGGGGTCAGATTATAAAGAGGAATTCACGGGGGGAGGGGGGGTGACCCAGAGGGGGTCGATGGCCCCCATTACTGCAGATGGCAAGGACCTCCCCAGCAGCTGGTCAGCAGCACAGGAACTGGGAAAAGCTGCCAGAAGGAAATGGGCATCTCTGTCTGCATTTCTCAGATTTATGACTATGACGTGATGGCCACAGGCCTGCGGAAGGCTGTGTGTCCTCATTCAGGTCACTCTACATGTCTTACGTGTTAACTGCAGTGGGATTTAGCACATGGAAGAAAGCAAGAAAGCTGGTTTTTCCTTCTCCAAGGGCGAATACCACCCCTAGATCTGGTGTCTTATGTGCTATGGAACCTTCAGAAAAATCGGAAAATAGTAAAAATGAGCTCTGGTAGTCCTCAAACACCAACTTCTTCTATTAAAGCTGAGGAAGCTTAAAGAGGGATGGGGAGATTAATTCAAGGGGTAAGCCCCCGTGACCCCCAAGCACTGCACACTGGTTTTAACAGTGAATCCTGGCCGGTCATCTTTTCCCCATAATCCTCAGATGAAGGAGTTTTCATGAAACTCAAAAGAGTCTCTCTTTTGCAAGCACACACGAAGCTTTTGACTAAATTAAACATTCTACTGAGAAGGAAATGAAAATAAAGAGTTCACAAGATTATTCAAACTTAGCAAGGAAACAAATGAGGACCATTTTTCAGAAAAGGTAAGAAGAAAGGATTCATTTAGAGGCTATTTGGAAAGAAGGTGCCGAGGGCT